AACAGTATTATATTCAGTAGGAAAGCATGTGTAACCAGTGGACAGATGGCAGTGTATTTATGAACTAGTGGAATCCTTGTGGTCATAACAGTATTATATTCAGTAGGAAAGCTTGTGTAACCAGTGGACATATGGCAGTGTACTTATGTCCACTAGTGGAATCCTTGTGGTCATAACAGTATTATATTCAGTAGGAAAGCTTGTGTAACCAGTGGACATATGGCAGTGTACTTATGTCCACTAGTGGAATCCTTGTGGTCATAACAGTATTATATTCAGTAAGAAAGCTTGTGTAACCAGTGGACAGATGGCAGTGTATTTATGAACTAATGGAATCCTTGTGGTCATAACAGTATTATATTCAGTAGGAAAGCTTGTGTAACCAGTGGACATATGGCAGTGTACTTATGTCCACTAGTGGAATCCTTATGGTCATAACAGTATTATATTCAGTAAGAAAGCATGTGTAACCAGTGGACAGATGGCAGTGAATTTATGAACTAGTGGAATCCTTGTGGTCACATCAGTATTATATTCAGTAAGAAAGCTAGTGTAACCAGTGGACAGATGGTAGTGAATTTATGAACTAGTGGATTCAGTGTGGTTTTAACAATATTGTTTTCAGTAGGAAAGGTTGTGTACCCAACAAACAGATGATAATGTATTGATGAATGAGTGCAATCAGTGTGGTCATAACACTTATGTATTCAGTAGGAAAGCTAGTTTTACAAGTGATAGTAGTGTGTTGATGAATAAATGAAATAAGTGTGTACAGTATTGTATGCATGCACTTGGATAGCTAGTTCTTTTCTAGTAATTGTAATAGACAATACATAATCTCTTTCATTTGGCACTTTTATTTCAAACAAATAACAAAATATTCTCAAAAAGATATAAAAACATATCAACATCTTTTAAATATATCAAAAACTTTTCACACTAAAACACAGTAAAATTAAAACTTTAAATTCAAATTATGAAAAATGTCTTTCTTTTTGGATGAACCTAATAGCTAAGAATATAATTCAAAATTAAAATCCTGGCCTCTTATTCCACTTATCATTTTACAAATCATTAACATACAATGTTAATGAGAGGCGAAAGATACCAAAGGGACATTCAAACTCATGTTGAAAATAAAATATGCACATGTAGTTTGTTTTTCCCAATTTATATAGATAATTAAAAAGCCACAAGGACTATCTCTTATATCAAATGAAACTCAATATCATTAAAGCTGACTATTTTTAAAATTTATTTAAAAACGATTTAATAATTTCAACAAAAAGATGATGTCTAAAAGATTGACATGTAATATATTGCATAGTGTACAGTACATCCAGGGAGATTCAATTATTAATCACTCATGTTGGTGATTTTTCACAGTGAATGCTGGTAAGTGTAATGGGTTCACACTGAAATACCTCTAAATATTCAATAGATATCATATGACAGGGTCATAATTTAGAGTGTTTGCATTCTAAATTGCCAGCAATCACCGGTACCCCACCCTGTTTCAATGTGATTCACTCAACATAAGAAGGCACAGAATAAGAAGGGGGCAATCCTGATAAGGATGAGGGATTTTAAACTGAATTGCATTGGATGTACTGTATAGAGAAACCTGTCTTATCCTAGGTAGATTGTGTATAAAGACATGCAATACAAATTCTGGTGACGGCAATCAGTGTGATCATACCAATATAGTATTCAAAAGAAAAGCTAGGTTAACCAGCAAGGCTGGTGTCCTGATGAATGACGGCAATCAGTGTGATCATACCAATATAGTATTCAAAAGGAAAGCTGGGTTAACCAGCAGGGTTGGTGTCCTGATGAATGAAAGCAACCAGTGTGATCATAACAGTATTGTATTCAGAAGGAAAGCAAGTGTAACCAGTGATGGTATTGTAATGAAGAATAAGTGGAATATTGTGGACAAAGCAGTAATGTATTTTATAGGAAAGTTAGTGTAACAAGCAACCGGACGGTATGATGAATTTGTGGAATCAGTGTGGTTCTCAAATAATTTGTATTCATTAAAAAAGCCAGTGTGACCGAGTCACCGGACAATAGTGAATTGATGAAAAAAGTGGAATCAGTATGGTTACCACAGTATTGTAATCAGTGGGAAAGTAAGGGTAAACGCTAGCTTCCATACGATTGTGTATTCATGAACAAGTGCAATCAGTGTGCCCATAACAGTGAGGAACTAAGAATGAAAGCTACTGTAACCAGCAACCAAATTCAGTATATTTATGAGCAAGTGGAATCAGCGTGGTCATAAAAGTAGGAAAAAAAGCATAAACAGATATTATAGTGTACACAGTGCAGACATAACAGTATTATATTCAGTAAGAAAGCTTGTGTAACCAGTGGACAGATGGCAGTGTATTAATGAACTAGTGGAATCCTTGTGGTCATAACAGTATTATATTCAGTAGGAAAGCTTGTGAAACCAGTGGACATATGGCAGTGTATTTATGAACTTGTGGAATCCTTGTGGTCATAACAGTATTATATTCAGTAGGAAAGCTTGTGTAACCAGTGGACAGACGGACAGATGGCAGTGTATTTATGAACTAGTGGAATCAGTGCTGTCATACCAGTATTATATTCAGTAAGAAAGCTTGTGTAACAAGTGGACAGATGGCAGTGTATTTATGAACTAGTGGAATCCTTGTGGTCATAACAGTATTATATTCAGTAGGAAAGCTTGTATAACCAGTGGACAGATGGCAGTGTATTTATGAACTAGTGGAATCCTTGTGGTCATAACAGTATTATATTCAGTAGGAAAGCTTGTGTAACCAGTGGACAGATGGCAGTGTATTTGTGAACTAGTGGAATCAGTGCTGTCATACCAGTATTACATTCAGTAAGAAAGCTATTGTAACCAGTGGACAGATGGAAGTGTTTTTATGAACTTGTGGAATCCTTGTGGTCATAACAGTATTACATTCAGTAAGAAAGCTAGTGTAACCAGTGGACAGATGGAAGTGTTTTCATGAACTTGTGGAATCCTTGTGGTCATAACAGTATTATATTCAGTAGGAAAGCTTGTGTAACCAGTGGACAGATGGCAGTTCATTTATGAACTAGTGTAATCAGTGCTATCATACCAGTGTTATATTCAGTAAGAAAGCGTGTATAAACAGTGGCCATATGGCAGTGTATTTATGAACTAGTGGAATCCTTGTGGTCATAACAGTATTATATTCAGTAGGAAAGCTTGTATAACCAGTGGCCATATGGCAGTGTATTTATGAACTAGTGGAATCCTTGTGGTCACAACAGTATTGTATTCAGTAGGAAAGCATGTGTAACCAGTGGACAGATGGCAGTGTATTTATGAACAAGTGGAATCCTTGTGGTCATAACAGTATTATATTCAGTAGGAAAGCTTGTGTAACCAGTGGACAGATGGCAGTGTATTTATGAACTAGTGGAATCCTTGTGGTCATAACAGTATTATATTCAGTAAGAAAGCTTGTGTAACCAGTGGACAGATGGCAGTGTATTTATGAACTAGTGGAATCCTTGTGGTCATAACAGTATTATATTCAGTAGGGAAGCTTGTGTAACCAGTGGACATATGGCAGTGTACTTATGTCCACTAGTGGAATCCTTGTGGTCATAACAGTACTATATTCAGTAGGAAAGCTTGTATAACCAGTGGACAGATGGCAGTGTATTTATGAACTAGTGGAATCCTTGTGGTCATAACAGTATTATATTCAGTAGGAAAGCTTGTGTAACCAGTGGACAGATGGCAGTGTATTTGTGAACTAGTGGAATCAGTGCTGTCATACCAGTATTACATTCAGTAAGAAAGCTATTGTAACCAGTGGACAGATGGAAGTGTTTTTATGAACTTGTGGAATCCTTGTGGTCATAACAGTATTACATTCAGTAAGAAAGCTAGTGTAACCAGTGGAAAGATGGAAGTGTTTTCATGAACTTGTGGAATCCTTGTGGTCATAACAGTATTATTTTCAGTAGGAAAGCTTATGTAACCATTGGACAGATGGCAGTTCATTTATGAACTAGTGTAATCAGTGCTGTCATACCACTGTTATATTCAGTAAGAAAGCGTTTATAAACAGTGGCCATATGGCAGTGTATTTATGAACTTGTGGAATCCTTGTGGTCATAACAGTATTATATTCAGTAGGAAAGCTTGTATAACCAGTGGCCATATGGCAGTGTATTTATGAACTAGTGGAATCCTTGTGGTCACAACAGTATTGTATTCAGTAGGAAAGCATGTGTAACCAGTGGACAGATGGCAGTGTATTTATGAACAAGTGGAATCCTTGTGGTCATAACAGTATTATATTCAGTAGGAAAGCTTGTGTAACCAGTGGACAGATGGCAGTGTATTTATGAACTAGTGGAATCCTTGTGGTCATAACAGTATTATATTCAGTAAGAAAGCTTGTGTAACCAGTGGACAGATGGCAGTGTATTTATGAACTAGTGGAATCCTTGTGGTCATACCAGTATTATATTCAGTAGGAAAGCTTGTGTAACCAGTGGACATATGGCAGTGTACTTATGTCCACTAGTGGAATCCTTGTGGTCATAACAGTATTATATTCAGTAAGAAAGCATGTGTAACCAGTGGACAGATGGCAGTGAATTTATGAACTAGTGGAATCCTTGTGGTCACAACAGTATTATATTCAGTAAGAAAGCTAGTGTAACCAGTGGACAGATGGTAGTGAATTTATGAACTAGTGGATTCAGTGTGGTTTTAACAATATTGTTTTCAGTAGGAAAGGTTGTGTACCCAACAAACAGATGATAATGTATTGATGAATGAGTGCAATCCTTGTGGTCATAACAGTATTATATTCAGTAGGAAAGCTAGTTTTACAAGTGATAGTAGTGTGTTGATGAATAAATGAAATAAGTGTGTACAGTATTGTATGCATGCACTTGGATAGCTAGTTATTTTCTAGTAATTGTAATAGACAATAAATAATCTCTTTCAATTGGCACTTTTATTTCAAACAAATAACAAAATATTCTCAAAAAGATATAAAAACATATCAACATCTTTTAAATATATCAAAAACTTTTCACACTAAAACACAGTAAAATTAAAACTTTAAATTCAAATTATGAAAAATGTCTTTCTTTTTGGATGAACCTAATAGCTAAGAATATAATTCAAAATTAAAATCCTGGCCTCTTATTCCACTTATCATTTTACAAATCATTAACATACAATGTTAATGAGAGGCGAAAGATACCAAAGGGACATTCAAACTCATGTTGAAAATAAAATATGCACATGTAGTTTGTTTTTCCCAATTTATATAGATAATTAAAAAGCCACAAGGACTATCTCTTATATCAAATGAAACTCAATATCATTAAAGCTGACTATTTTTAAAATTATTTAAAAACGATTTAATAATTTCAACAAAAAGATGATGTCTAAAAGATTGACATGTAATATATTGCATAGTGTACAGTACATCCAGGGAGATTCAATTATTAATCACTCATGTTGGTGATTTTTCACAGTGAATGCTGGTAAGTGTAATGGGTTCACACTGAAATACCTCTAAATATTCAATAGATATCATATGACAGGGTCATAATTTAGAGTGTTTGCATTCTAAATTGCCAGCAATCACCGGTACCCCACCCTGTTTCAATGTGATTCACTCAACATAAGAAGGCACAGAATAAGAAGGGGGCAAGCCTGATAAGGATGAGGGATTTTAAACTGAATTGCATTGGATGTACTGTATAGAGAAACCTGTCTTATCCTAGGTAGATTGTGTATAAAGACATGCAATACAAATTCTGGTGACCTACAGATAAACTAATTTATACTGCAGCTTGAACACTCTCTGTTGTCTTTATTTTCAAAATAGTAATAAAGTGATATATTATACAATGTCAATTTCATGTCGCATGGCCTTTCTTCACAATCTGGGGCTCATTTAGGGTTGAAAAATAGGTTTATTTTTTGTGTTTAAATGTTAAATGCTATTATTGTTGCCATTTTAGCTGCAGTATAAAAAAACAATATTCGATCAATGTCAGAAAAATATCAACTTTATTGTATTTGGCATGGAACTATTTAAGGGCATGTTAAATCCTGCTTTCCCCCAGAGGCCTCATTAGAAAAGTTGATGATTGTCTGACATTGACTTAATTGTTGTTTATTTATACATAATCTTCCTTCTCAAAGAGGTTCAGTTTAGAAAGGTTTCACTGTACATTTCAGTAGTTTGGACAAGGACCATAACTCAAGCAAGCATTACATTTAAATGTATATAAAACAATGACAATGGACACAGATAAAAGAAACTATTATCGTATATTATATATGTAAATGTTGCTGTGAATATTTACTCTGTAAGGCCATCCAAAATAAATGTTTAGCTTCTCCAATATTTTTTTTAATTTAAGGAAAAAGCATGTGTTCACAAATATTTCCTATTAAAATAACGACATTTATTCATACAATAAATGTCCAATTCTCAATTTTCTGATTACTTTAAAACCACATGCTTTTATTAAATCAGGAAGGCATTTATCAGCAGACGTTTACCAGATCTGACAGGTTTTTACCAAATAAGGCAATGGTCACTGAGATGCTAAACATTTACAATTTGATTCTGCTTTACAATGTATGACATCTGTGTAAAGGGTACTGGAATAGTAAGTGCTGCAAAAGGAAATTTTGTACAGAAAGGATCTGATCTAATAATTCTTTCTCACAGTTAATTAGGCTTTTTTATTGACGGATTCAGAAATTCCACTTCGGTCCTAATCTATTCATTGTCACAGACTAGGTGTGCTTGTAAATGACGTCTTCACCAACCAGAATGTCAAAAATGGCGAGTCCGAAAATGCAACACCATTTCTGTGTTGGTCCATTTTTAGACAACCTATCACACTATGAGAGAGAAACAATCATGATTCACATCGGAAAGACTTACAGCTACAGAAAAATATTACTAAAAAAACTAAATACCCACTTTACCATATCAATAAAAAAAAAATAAAAAATAGAGAGCATTTGTGAACTAATTAATTTCAATATTTTAGCTTTTAGATTACACATCATTTTCGTCGAAAGTAGATAGTAAATAATAAACCTGCTCCAACAACAGTACCAATACCAAATACATAAAATCGTAAGTGAAATGATTTCTGTTTTAATTTAAGGTCTGTTCTGGAGATAACAAAAGCTTCATTCACCTCCTCCCTTGTTATGGCTTGAGGATGGAATCTATAAATAACTTCAAATGCTGCCCTTTTCCCAGCTTGCACCGCTCCATTCATGAATCCACACCACCTAGTGGCAGATTCTGTTCCAGCAAAATATATTCTAAAATACAAAAATACAATATATATGTTAATAATCTGAAATTCCTAATGTATTTATCGTTCCATATGGCTATACTGCTTTAGACAGAGAGTGACTGCCTGGCAGATATGAAAAAAATGGAGAATGTGTCCCCATGGACACAGATGATGCCCCAGCTTGCATACAACATTATAAAGGGACATAACTCAAGAACAATAAAAGTGACGCTACCCAAATTTGTACTTGATCTCAGTTTTGTGGTAATAAGTATTGTGTAAAGGTTTCATAATGTTTAGTTGGGGCAAACTTAAGTTACAGAACGGAAACTAAAAATTTAGCAATTTTTCCATTTATAAAGGGGCATAACTCGATAATGATTAAAGTGACGCCACCAAAATTCAACTTGATCTGTGTTTTGTGGTAAAAAGCATCGTGTATAAGTTTCATAACATTTGGTTGAGGCAACTTAAGTTAGAGAACGAAAACTAAAAATTTTGCATTTTTTTCCATTTATAAAGGGGCATAACTCGAGAATGGTTACAGTGACCACCAAAATTCAAACTTGATCTTTATTTTGTGGTAATAAGCATTGTGTATAAGTTTCATAACATTTGGTTGAGGCAAACTTAAGTTAGAGAACGGAAACTAAAAATTTTGCAATTTTTCCATTTATAAAGGGCATAACTCTAGAACAGTTAAAGTGACGCTACCAAAATTCAAACTTGATCTGTATTTTGTGGTAATAAGCATTGTGTATAAGTTTCATAATATTTGGTTGAGACAAACTTAAATTAAAGAACGGAAACTAGAAATTTAGCAATTTTTTCCATTTATAAAGGGGCATAACTCTAGAACGGTTAAAGTGACGCCACTAAAATTCAAACTTGATCTGTGTTTTATGGTAATTAGCATTGTGTATAAGTTTCATAACATTTGGTTGAGGCAAACTTAAGTTAGAGAACGGAAACTAAAAATTTTGTAATTTTTCCATTTATAAAGGAGCATAACTCTAGAACAGTTAGAGTGACACTACCAAAATTCAAACTTGATCTGTATTTTGTGGTAATAAGCATTGTGTATAAGTTTCATAACATTTGGTTGAGGCAAACTTAAGTTAGAGAACGGAGACCAATTTTGGGACGTACGTACAGATGGACAAGGGTAAAACTTAATGTCCCCTCCACTACGGCATAAAAAACCCACTTAAATTGTCCAACTCAACATTATTCAGTTCAAAACAAATATCAATTCATTCTTTAACACAGAAGCTGATGTTAAGCAAATTGTGATTGGATGAATGACAGATGTATGGATGGACCACAGATAAACAAATAGACAGATAAACAACTGGGCAGACAATGTCATTGCTGTAAACCACCCATTCTAAGAGTTGGATATTACAGTATGAAAGGGAGCATAACAAAATGGTTCCAGTTTAATCATTCTACTCACAATAAATGCATTCATTTCTTACTTACCTGTCAAAAGAATGACGTAATCCACTAACGAAATATGGCATAGCACCAGGTGCAGCACAACATACAGGGCTACCTTCACTGTAGGGCTCCAGTCCCCAGTCTTGTTCCCTGTAGTCTTTATAGTTCCATACATCATCACCAAAGAATGAGGACATACTTTTTAAAACTGCCGACTGTCTGTCAGCTTCCTGTTAAAAAACATTAATTTAAGTATTAATCAGTACATTTTTTCATATAATTTGTTGGGTTGCTGTCAAAACTGCAGACTATCTGTCTACTTCCTGTTTAAAAATTACTGCTGTAAGTATCAATAAGTACAAGTTTTTTAATAATTTGTTGGATTGCTGTCCGTCTTCTTCTTTTTAAAAAAAAATAACTGTTGTTAGTATTCCAATTTGATATTTTTACAATTTTGTTTGGTTACTGCTGGGAACAGTATATCTAATGGGAAATGAATCTGATAGGCATTTCAGTATAAAATTGATAAAATCTTGGACTTTACGAGACTTCGCGAGATTTATGGATTCTGGTAGTGTCTGCCTGAAAAATTATCAGAACTGCTCAATAAATTAACCACATAATTCTAATCGTAAATAAATACAAGTTTTATCATAAAGTAGATATATTTTGTAATATAAAATGACCAAAATAAGTGTGATTTATTTGATGTGAAGTGTTTTATAATGGTTGTGAATTTGGGAATGCAATAGGTGCCATTTTTTTATTATCCTGTTTGCATTCTGTACCCTTCTGTGATGAAATGAATGCGATTATAACAAATTTGATGTGACAGATTACAAGTTCGATACACTGGCATCACTTTAAAACTTAGTTTGAATGACATTTTATTGATATTATCAGAAATTATTAGGATAATAGCGAGTACGTTTTTAACACATGTCCGTTTCCGTATCGTATATTTATTAACTTTGACCCGACGATAAAATCGGCTACAATTAGGTAGTGTCAAGTCCCGTCAATATATATATGTTCCTGGTTACTGTAAAAATGCAATCCATCAGAATATATGTTTTCTGTTAAAACAAATTCTGTAAGTATTTTAGTTTACGGTTTTTATTATTTTGTTGGGTTTGCTTTCTCAACACTGTCTTCCATTTATCTCTATCTATTTATTTAGGTACAAAAATACTTATCACTAAACTATTTCAGTTTAAGAGTTTGGTTACAGTTAAAATGAAGATCATCTGTATGTTTTCTGCTGAAAAATTACTGCTGTAAATTTTTAAGTTTAATTTTTATATTAAATGTGGTTTTGTAATTATTATTGTGGATTCGTCATATTCATGGGGTACTAATTTTTGTGGATTTAGTGGGTATAAGTAATCCATGAATTTAAATGTTCAACAAAGTATATATTTTCTACATCATTGTATGTAGTCTTTAGCAAATCCATGAAATCTAACATCCACCAAAATAACTCAATCCTCAGTATATAATTTATAGTTTTAAAAAAAAAAAAATATTTGTATCGACTAAAACCTAAACAAACAGGAAATTAACTAAGACACTTACTGATTGCAGTTGCCACTGAATGGCTTGTTTGCCACCAATAAATGCCACTAAAGCAGCATTGTTATTTGATGATGTAGCATCATATACAATACACAAAGGTCCTTCATCACAGCCCTCCACAGTGGAAGGTCCACCAATAGTTACTATCTCTCCAGAACTACCAGCTTCTCTCCAGAAGGCCTATAAAACAGCAGTATTAAGAGTAGGAAGATTCTACATGGATAAATATTTCTCATTCTGAAGCACTTATTTCCAAATAATGGTGACTTAGGTTAGTTGATTTTTTAATATAAAAATACCAATCTTGAGTTTCTTGAAAAAATTTAATGACAGTATTTTGTTGGATTTCTTAACTGAGGGTAATTTGTTAATATCAACCTGCACCTTTGTCAGTCCAGAAGTATAGCATTCATAACATCAAGCCAAGAATTCTGCTAAAACTGGTACTAGGGCAGACTTGAACTTGAAGTGAGATGTGAGCTGTTTTGCAGAATATCAATAAAAGGAATGTTTCTTTGCTTTGAAATTGTTAAGATTTGAGAATGGAAATGGGGAATGCGTCAAAGAGACAACCCAACCAAAGAGCAGAAAACAGCCCAAGGCCACCAATGGGTCTTCAACACAGCAAGAAAATCAGGCACCGGGAAGCGAGCTTCAGCTGGCCGCCAATTATAATGTATACTAGTTCAGCGAAAATAGACGTCACACTCAACTTCGAAACATATAAATGATCCAAAATTTAAAAAAAAAACATACAAGACTAATAAAGGCCAGAAGTTCCTGACTTGGGACAGGCCCAAAAATGTGACGGGGTTAAACTGGTTTCGTGAGATCTTAACCCTCCCCCTATACCTCTAGCCAATGTGGAATAAACAAAAACACAGCAATACGAACAGTAAAATTCAGTTTAAAAGAAGTCAGAGTCCGATGTAAAATCATGTTAGAATAGGTAACAGAAGAAACTAAGCAAAATGACAATAACCAACATAAATTAACAAAGGACTACTAGCATGTAATGATTTTACAAATGAATCCATTCCATCCCATTGGATATCAAACTTACTTTTTCATAAGTAATAATGACTTTATTTAATAAACCGACTGGCATTCTGTTCATTATCTCCTTTTTAGGTGCTGGAAGAGTAGGCTTGAAATTTATTTTATCTGAAAAAAAATATACATGCATGCATTAGATTTTATTATCTTGTTTAAAATGTCTTTTCTTCACAATTTCTGGCATAAACTAAACCTGAAATTCAAATAAAGACTTGTGGAACTTGTTTATTTTTCATGTAATTAGTAAACATCAATGCGGTATGGGTTTTGCTCATTGTTGAAGGCTGTACAGTGACCTATATATAGTTGTTAACATCTATGTCATTTGGTCTCTGGTGGAGAGTTGTCTCATTGGCAATCATACCACATCTCCTTATCTTAACAATGAACTAAGTATGATTGTTTACTTTGTGGACCATAAAATCAATACATGAATTAATCTTGTTTAACACCTATAGAAAGAGTAGCCAACCAAATCATGGAAAAATTAACAAAAGGTTGACAGAAAAAACTTGTTATCTGTTTTGTGTCTATATTTACGGTAGCTTATAAAAAATTCATTGTTAACCTTACAAACATGTAGCAAAATTTAAAGGAGGAGGTATGATAAGAGCCTTTATATGGCCTTTAAAATTGCAAAAACAGTAAAATTCTTGAATCTTTTTAAAAATATGTTAGTAATATTTAATTATAAGATATCAAAATGAGACTTTTTTTGTAGTTTTTTCAGATTTGCATTAAAAGCAAAAAGTCTGAAGCCGTAAGGCAAATATGAATGACAAAATCAAAAATACATCTGACAGATTTTTGTCTTGTGAAAATCTAAAAGTTTTTATTTTGTGATGTAATTAACTTCTTGAATTTGAATTCAAGGGGTAAAAAAGTGGTCTTGTCAAACCTTTTGATCTTTTATGCACAAAGGAAACATTCAAATAGATCAGCTTTTTAATAATATGCAAGAAGAAGTTGAAATTTCAGAACCACAATTTAAGTTAACCCACTTTGCAGAAACTACTGATTTTATTTATTTACTTGTTCTTATCCTGAATAGCTATTAAATATTTGCAGTTGGACATAAAGTAAACAGTAATCAACTAACAAAATAATGATGAAAAACATTCATACAACTGACTTTTCCCATAATTATCCATTTTATGATTTGAAAAATTAATAAAATGCTCCGCTGGGGCGCAGCTTGATATGACCGCAGAGGTCGAACCCTGAACAGTTGGGGCAAGTATGGACACAACATTCAAGCTTGATACAGCACTGAATTTGGATTGTAATTAAATATTTGACACAGCATAGGTTTCTGACACAGAATGAATGTGGTCTAAGAACTTAAAAAAATTTAATTTACCTATTCAAACCATATCATTATTATTTGCTTTTATATATAAATCAGAAATAACCAATTTAAAATGGAAAATTTTAAAGAAAAAAAAGGAAAAAAAAATCCCCCCCCCCCCAATTTTTTGAACCCCCTTATGATTCATCACCCCAAAACCTAATCCCAGCACTCCCTTTGTGGTATGGTACCTTGCAGTACAATTTACACTTGAACACAAGTTATTGTCTGGAAACTAGAAAAATGCTTGTTTTTTTTCCCCTTTTTGGCCCCAAATTCCTAAACGTTTAAGGCAATTACCCCCAAACTCAAACCCAGCTTTCCTCTTTGTGATAAAGGACCTTGTAGTACAATTTCATAAAGATCAATACACTTACACACAAGTTATTGTCCTGAAACTAGAAAAATGCTTGTTTTTTGGCCCCTTTATGGCCCCTAATTCCTAAAATTTTGAGGCAATTACCCCAAAAATCAATCCAAGCCTTCCCTTTGTGGTATGGTACCTTGCAGTACAATTTCAGAGAGATCCATACACTTGAACACAAGTAATTGTCTGGAAACTAGAAAAATGCTTATTTTTGGCCCCTTTTTGGCCCCCAATTCCTAAACGTTTTGGGCAATTACCCCCAAACTCAATTCCAGCTTTCCCTTTGTGATATGGAACCTTGTAGTACAATTTCATAAAGATCCATACACTTACACAGAAGTTATTGTCATGAAACTAGAAAAATGCTTGTTTTTTGGCCCCTAATTCCTAAAATTTGGAGGCAATTACCCCCAAAATCAATCCCAGCATTCCCTTTGTGATATGGAACCTTGTTGTACAATGTCAGAGAGATCCATACACTAACACACAAGTTATGTCTGGAAGTTACAAAAATGCTTATTTTTGGCCCCTTTTTGGCCCCTAATTCCTTAACTGTTGGTACCATAACCCCCACAATCAATCCCCACCTTCCTTTTGTAGTATTAAACCTTATGGTAAAATTTCATAGAGATCCATTCACTTAAACTAAAGTTAGAGTGCGAAAACCAATGTGTCTTCGGACGACGACGACGACGCCAACGTCATACCAATATAGGACCACAAATTTTTTTTGCGGTCGTATAAAAACTAGTGGCTTACTATCTTATTCATTACACATTTAAGGCATGGTTATTATCAATATACGTACTTGTCATATTTGGTGGTGTGGCCATTATCACAGATTTACATTTAAACTCAGATCCATTTAGAGTTTTAACAATAACACCATCTTTTGTCTACAAAATAGGTTGAATATGAGCTATAACCATAAAATAAACGGAGAATGTGTCCATGGGACGCAGATGATGCCCCGATTGGCCTGTGTGCATATTACGTTATAAAGGGACATAACTAGAGAACTGTATAGTGACGCCACACAGGTGTTTTATGGTAATAAGCATTGTGTATAAGTTTCATAACATTTGGTTGAAGCAAACTAAAGTTAGAGAACGGAAACTAATTTTGGGACATACGTATGGACGAACAAACAGACACAGGTAACACTTAATCCCCCCTCAGTTGCGGCGAAGACATAAAAAGAGTTCGACAAGGATTGAAATTTCAGTGTAACATCATTGCTTGCCTGATTATTTTTAGGCAATTTATAACAAAAGGAGCACTCTCAGTACCTATTTGTTGTCCTTAACAAGTCTTTCACATAGTCCATACAGTCATGTTTTAGGATTTTATGATTGATTGATGGCTTCTTAATGCCATGCGATAAACACTACATGCCATATGAAACACGCTATTTCACATTTAACAATACACCTTATCACTATTTGTTCGCCATTACTGGACATTTCAAATGTTCCCATAAAAATTTTACTTCTTAATAGAAAATGTCTGAGGTATGACATCAACAGTTCAAGTGTAGCAGATTTTCACGTCAAGTGTTGCAGATTCCCAAATAGCAATAAGGCCTATAGATAAATGGGTACAAAGTCAGAACTTCTGGTTTACAAAAAAGACAAACAAAAAACAGTAAGAATCAGAAACTTCATACATACATATAGATCAACATAATTATTTTTTTTCAATAATTTAACTGTTGTGTATTCATATGGCGAAAAAAAAAAACTTTTTGGCAAAGAAAACCCTATATTGACTATCGGTTCAATCAGTCCACCTATAAATTACACAGAAATTTTGTCACTGGAATTGGAAAATAAGATTATTTTATCAAACTAACCTTTCACAATCAATGGGTTAAATCTTTTTACAAGTTGATCAGTAAGAGATGATTGCAAACTGCAACTTAGAAAACATTTATGTGGATTCCTTGGTAACATATAAACTATGAATTTTACTGGGTTTGTACTAACATGAGCAACATGACGGGTGCCACATGTGGAGCAGAATCTGCTTACCCTTCTGGAGCACCTGAGATCACCCCCAGTTTTTGGTGGGGTTCGTGTTGCTCAGTCTTTAGTTTTCTGTGGTGTGTTTTGTATACTGTTGTTTGTCTGTTGGTTTTTTTTTTAGCCATGGCGTAGTCAGTTTATTTTCAACTTATGAGTTTGAATGTCCCTGTGGTATCTTTTGCCTCTCTTTTTTAAATGTTCAATAAGATATAAATTTCACTAAAGGATTATGTAGGGATTAATTTAGAAATTGGTCAAAACATAGGAATTTATAAATATCTGCGACATTGTTTTTTTCCTCAATCTAGAAATATTGGTACCAATGAAAGTAATTGCATCCGCAGTAAATCGGTCATGTTTCATAATAAACATTTCATCATTTGTTTATCAAAACTTTAGTGTATTTCTACGGTATCCTTTTGCAGATATCTTGTACATGTACAATAATATTCCTCTGGAATCAGGAGAGTTCTTCCTGTTTAGGATTTAAAAAATTGATATGGCTATAATAAAAGATTGTTATCACTTGACACTTACTTGTTCAATACTTAGTATTGCATGACTTAGTTTAACTGTGTCTTTGGCAAGTTTACTGACTAGTTGACACTTACTTGTTCTATACTTAGTACTGGATGACTTAGTTTAACTGTGTCTTTGGCAAGTTTACTGACTAGTTGTTTAGATATCTGTTGTGCTCCTCCCTAAAGGAAGAAAATATAAAACTAATATGTACCAGATACATAAAGGTTTTCTTCATTTATATGTCAGAAAAATGTCTTTTTGTTCAATCGTAAAAAGGTTCATACTCATCATTGGTCAGAGTGTCTTTTAATTTATATTATCTGCATGTATTTGTTGGAGAGCTGACAACTTACTTTCTTCTTTATTTTAATTGTGTTTTCCTAGATTCAAAACTTAATTTTTTTTATTGTTTAGAAAGCCTACCTTTATAACATCATGGCAAACTCCCCACATCAAAATGTCTTTTGAAACGTTTTGACATTGGTTAGTTATGCCTTACTTTGTACTATGAAGTTTTAAATGTAACTTATAATGTGAATTTAAAAGATGTAAATGTTCACACAATTAAATACAGGAGATACTGTTGATTCATTATTATTTTATTCTTTAGATATCAATTTTCCTGGGTTTCCTTGGTACAGGTAAACAAAGAAACTAAATGTTCAACAAATTACAAATTTTCTACAGGATTGTAAGCAGACATTGGTAAAATCCAGATATCAAATATTCACAAAAATGCAAGTTTTCCTCCTTTAAAGAAAATTGGTATCCACGAAAAATGAATTAATCCACAGTATGAAATGTTATGAGCACCATTTTTCTTTACATTGAACAAATATATATATAAAACAATTACATTCCTTATTTACCTTAATTTTGAATTCCTGTCCACAATTTTCAGTTGCTTCAAGCAGTTTTTGTAAAGACCCAGCTGCATTCACGTATGATAGAAAATACAACACTGAAATCTGTGACAATTCAACACCCATCATACACCTAGTGGCAGACACAAGGCAGTCTTTTGCAGCTAAAATTATAAATTTTGGATACAACAAAAGGTTTAAGGATGAGGATGATATGGTCAAAAATTCTACAATTTTCAGCTCTCATTATGCAAGTACTTTGTACAGTCAAAAATTTCAGTTTAAATAAAGGATTTAAGATATTTGACAGATTTTATTGTGTATTAGCTTCTTACATAACAATAACACATGTTTGTGTGACTCCCAAGTCACAATAATAGTCAACAGTTTTTCTTTGTTTTCTTGAAGATTTTTGTAACTTTGTCATTTGGTTTTGATAGTAGATCTTTGATAGTCCCTGTTAAATTTATCATGTTTATTCACAACTTTTTTAGGGTCAGGGCGGCTTAGAGCTTGACATTTTGAAGACACCTGTTGAAGACTATTTGTTGACATTTAAATTTCTTTTATTCTTTTTTTGTCTCATTGACATATACTTCACATCTATTTTTAATCTGAGCACCTTGCTGTATGAGGGATCTTAATAATTCATCTATAGGGATTACCATTCTATCAACAACGAGGCTATGAGTTCAAATCCTGCATTGGTAAGGTTAGTCAACACCCATCTTAAATGTAGGGGTTCTCTTTTGCGCACTCCAGCTTTCTTCAGTAATAAAAACAGGCTGCCCCATTGTAGCCATAAGTACTGTAAGTAGCTTTAAACACCAACAATTAATCAATCGATCTTTTTACTCTTCTTTGTATTCAGCTTCTTTTTACCTGCTGCATCGTTAGCCATGGCTATTTTTATTACTGTTATGAGATGAGTGAAACCCAAATCACAAAAACTCATCATTCAAAAGTCAAATCAAATAGTCTATTTCCCTATTATGTAATTGACCAGAAATTAAAGATCCACTTGTATGGGTTGTTTACAATAGGATGGACCTAAATGTGTGCAATCTTTAAGTTTTTCAAATCTTTTAAATATATTTAATGCTTATCATGCTTTGCATGGTCAGCAGCAAGTTTTGAACAGTTTAGAACTAGTCTAAAATTGGCAAAGGAAACAAATGTGTGAAAAGTGTATAATAACAGAGTCAAAGTGGTATTTGGTAAATAGACTATTATATTTGTATAATATTCCACAAACCTTGGGTCCACAAATTCTGACTGACAAAAGTTTCTACTGTCATAGCATCCCATTTTTTAGCCTGTGGACTTTTATAAGGATCCTGTATATTTACAAGTTTTGCCATTTTGTCAATCTGAAACAAAAACTTACCTATTGTGAAATTAATGATATGAGAAAAAAGAAAATTCAAAATTTGAAAAAGGCCAAAGTTAAAGAAATGTTTTTAGAATTTTACTACTTTATAGTTAATCAGATATATAAGAAACACATCCACATGACAGTTACAAATCATCTCATTGTTTAACTCTTGTATACTCCTACTGTACCAGAGAGTTTATCATTAAGGGTTTTATTTGTGTGCATTAATATGCCGAAAAATATTAATCATAGGCTTCAAATCAGATTTTATAATGTGCTAGTACACAAGATAACAGTCCGCAAGAAGACATGTCACAATACCTGGACACATTATTCTGTATTTCAGCAGATCAGTCTTTGCTCTTACTCCTATATGCTCCTTAGTGGAGAAGCAGCAAATACCAATTTTCAAGTCTTTGGTTTGACCTGGCTGAGGTTATAACCCACTACCTCCAGGAGCACAGTATCGTGAGAGGCAATTTTATAAGGAAGATATAATTAGTCAACTGATATATAATTAATAAACTTATTCAACTACCAGTGAATAATCAATTTCCTCTGTTTATGAACAAGGCAAATACTTCTAGATTATGAATGGTTTTTAAAACGAGGGGGCGTTTCTCAGCTACAATCTCATCGAAGGGTGACAACCCTGAGATGAGATGTGGCCGAGAAACATCCTCTAATTTGAAAGACCATTGATGATCTGTTTATCGCTATTTTGCCTATGACGTTGTTGATGTTTACATTGACAATGTCACGTGCACCCTTAGCTTCTGATGATAATTTTCAATTTCAAGCGAGTAGCCTGATATGAAAAATTATCACAAAAAAAGATCAAAGGAAAAATATGCAAAATAGCGATAAATAATTTTATCCTTTTTTGTTTTAGATTTGATGCTGAGAAGTTTTATAAATGTATAAAGTTGCAAAAATTGTTGGAGTCAACTGTATCTAATGAAAATGATCAAAGTAACATGTGTTTATTGTATTGTTCCTCCATATATTTCAAATTAAACTATATAAAAGATTTATATAGTGAATTCATTATAATTTGTGAGGTACTAATTTTCTCACAACTTGTTTAGGTGAACAACATGAATTGAAGTGTATAACAAAATATGAATTTCCCACAGATATATCAGTAATAACTACATTTGCCAAATAATTGAAATAAAATTGAGAATGGAAATGGGGAATGTGTCAAAGAGACAACAACCCGACCATAGAACAGACAACAGAAGAAGGTCACCAACAGGTCTTCAATGCAGCGAGAAATTCCCGCACCCGGAGGCGTCCTTCAGCTGGCCCCTAAACAAATATATATATACTAGTTCAGTGATAATGAACGCCATACTAAACTCCAAATTGTACACAAGAAACTAAAATTAAAAATAATACAAGACTAACAAAGGCTAGAGGCTCCTGACTTGGGACAGGCGCAAAAATGCGGCGGGGTTAAACATGTTTATGAGATCTCAACCCTCCCCCTATACCTCTAGCCAATGTAGAAAAGTAAACACATAAGTACCCATGAAAAAGCAATTTTTCTTAAATCTACGAAAACCAGTACGCACAAGTATTATCAAAATCAAGTACCCATGAAAAAGCAATTTTTCTTCAATCTACGAAAATCAGTACACACAATTATTAATAAAATGTTAAGACATTACCTTCTTCATTGACATATCTAAGTCAATCAGGGAAAAGAAAGACAGTGAGGGTATAGTTGATGTATAACTGGATATTTTATGTCCATCAACCTGCATAAACTTTCTCCCTTGTATGTACTGACTGTAAGTATCTATATCTAGCTCTTTTAGAAGATCCATCACATCTATTTGAGAACTGAAAATGGAAAAATTATATACGGTAAATTCAGAAATTTTTGCAACCTCCCTCCCCCTTTTTTAATTCATCAAAATAATTTTTTTTTAAAAAGTTTGGAATTTGAGATATTTTTGTTAATATAAAAATTCGTAAGGGTTCCACGGAACCCAGTGTCTCGCCTACTTTTGCTGTTAATCGCAGGCTCAACATGAGGAAAAAATTAAATAAAAATATTCCTCTCGATACAATTTTTTTATTGTAAGAAGCTTCTGTCCAAGTTTGGTAAAAATCCAGGATAGTTTATGAATCTAATAAAAGTTATAAAAAATTTAACTGCAGACTGTATGTAATTTTAACTGGAAGAAAAACTAAGTCCATTTATAAGTAAAATATGGATAAACAAGTACAAAATTTTAATAAAAATTTCCTTCTAGATACTAGCTTTTGATCATAAACAAGCTTCTGTCCAAGTTTGGTAGAAATCCAGGATAGTTCGAGAAAGTTCTTAAAATTTTAAAAACTTTAACCACAGAGTGAATGTAATGTTTCCTGGCAGAAAAACTAAGTCCATTTATAAGTAAAATACGGAAAAACAGGATTTTTTTTTTTTAAATTTACTTCTGGATACTATCTTATGATCATAAACAAGCTTCTGTGTCCAAGTTTGGTAGAAATCCAGGATAGTTTAAGAAAGTTATTAAAATTTGAAAAACTTTAACCAGAGTGAATATTTGTGGACACCGCCGCCGACGACGACGGAATGTAGGACCGCTATGTCTCGCTTTTTCGACAAAAGTTGAAGCCTCGACAAAAATGAGAAGATGTGATATGATTGCCAATGAAACAAATTTTCACAAGAGACCAAATGACACAGAAATTATCAACTATAGGTCACCGTACGGCCTTCAACAATGAATAAAACCCATACCGCAAAGTCAGCTATAAAAGGCCCCGAAATGACAAATGTAAAACAATTCAAATGAGAAAACTCACATCCTGATTTAAGTATAAAATAATGAAGGAAAAACAAATATGATATAGAGCAACAAACGACAACCACTGAATTACAGGCTGCTGACTTGGGACAAGAACATACAGAATGTGGAATACTTTTTTCTGCATACACTCATAGTGATTGTTGAAAAATGGACAAAACTGTGAAATTAATTATTACAATTTAAGAAACTGATGCATACAAAAAATGCTATTAACATTTATATGACAGTGAAACCTATCCCTTCCCATTTTCACAATAAGAACATAGTAAAATTTCAGAATTTAAAGTAAAAGGTACAGTTGACCCGAGATATTCTTTTCAGGTCCTTTGTTTATAATATGAGAAAATTGTTAAGAACATTTTCATTTATAGTTCATTGAACATAATGAAAAATTCAATGTACATGATGTATTGCCAAACAGGAAGTAGAATTCTGACATATCCTTTTACAACTGATCATTAGCTGCTGACCTGAAATACAAAGTCATTCTGTTCAGTAGATCCTGAGAATAAAATTTTGTATGGAAGGGACGAACAGACAAGGGGATGCCAATATAACCACTTAATTGTAGAGAGGAGGTATAAAGATGTGCAGTGAATGTAGAACTTTTATTACAGCCTGGTGCAGATCGTGTTCTGGTGCATCTGAGATCAGGGTCATGTACATATCCCAAAGACAATGGTCAATAGTTCTAAAATCAAGCCAATTTTTCTGCAGAACTTTTCATTTATCCTCCACATTCTCATTATCCCAAGTCCCTATATAGGAGATAAAATTGAGAATGGAAATGGGGAATGTGTCAAAGAGACAACAACCCGACCATAGAACAGACAACAGCAGAAGGTCACCAACAGGTCTTCAATGTTCAAGACAAAAAAGGGAGCCTGGATGAGGGGGAGGGGATTCCCCATTTCTGTATTCTATTATTATTATACATTATTCTCTATTCTTTATATTTTAACACCCCATTTTTCACTATTTTTAATTTTTTGCATTGTATTCAATTATTTTTCCATTTTCCAACTTACGTGCCAACCCATTGTCCTCCAAGGTCAAATATATCTGTACCAGTACCAGTCTTTAGGGGAACAGAAAAAGTTCTGCCTCCAACTCTATCTGGAAAAAGAAAGAAACATTACCAAAAACTCTCTCTGCGAGTTTAATATTAATGTGATTTTTGGAAGCTACATGATATATGTAGATAACAGAATGCTAGTTCTTATCATTCTATACTATAAAGTAGTCCTATTTTTTTGCATTACTAGAAACCTCGCAATAATTTCTGAATTTACAGTATATGGATGTGATTTTAGTTCTTGCAAAAACTTTAATAATTTATTCAAGTTAATAAAGTTCTTTATGGTGAGATTGTTTAGATCTGAATCAATCACCATTTTATTAGGTTCTGTATACATGTATATATGCAGTTTGAGCTAATATACCTAGATTTTATTATTAAAGCTCAATATAAATTGTCTCCTTCAGCCTTTTTTCGTAAAATAATTCAGTTTCTTGCTTTCTTACTTTTTGAAAGTGCTATCATTTAAAATTATCTGTTAAAAATAATTCCCCTTCATCATAATAAAGTAAAATTATGTACGCCAAAATAGTTTCTATGTTACAATAATTACAGGTTGCTGTCCAGCCTTCAACAATGATCACAATCTATACCATTTAGTAAGCTATAATTTATTTTTTTACAACAATGTACCAAAAACAGATATGGTAGACAACGACTAACAACAACCACTGGACTACAGGTTTCTAGCTTGGAACAAACAAACAAAGAATGTGGCAAAGTTTAACATGTTAGTGAGCACTCAAATTTTTTTGTAATGTAATAATTTGTAAAATGTAAAAATAATTGATAGCCTAAATTATTAAATTTTACTGTTGTTTAAATTGAAAAAAAAATTGTATAAAACATTAATGATTTTAAATTCAATAGTATATTGATTTTTATATTTATTTTTATCCTGTCATAAGGACTTCATCTTTTGACATTGTTTGATCATCAATTAAAAATTGCCTTACTAAGGCGTCACAGCAAAAAAATTAAATAGCCTTTCAAGAGGTATCTGGTCCGTTCGCCCTAATTACATGTTCACCCTGGGTCCATTCGCCCTGAGTCCGTTCACCCATGGAAGTAATATTTAAAAGGAATAACAACGACTTATTAGCATGTATTAACAGCCTGCAGAGCTCTGTACTATAGTCATATGATTTTATCCAATTATAGTCTCAGCGGCAATACCCCTTTGGTTACTATCTGTGATACCGCGGTTGTAAAATGGCATCTGGAATTTCTTATCAGTCACGTGATTTTATCGAGTCCGGTAATTATAAAGCACCTGTGTGAAATCCGAGGTTTATTAATAAGAAGGTGGCGCTGTATCATATAAAACCTCTACCTTCAGAAAGAAGTTGTATGATGTAAAAAACTTGAAAAACGGACGAGAATTGTTCAACCTACAACAGTTTAGCATGGAAAATTGTATTTAATTTAGCATATTTTTGCTTTTTACCGTTTGTTTTAAACTGTTCTAAAAGTATTTTCCGGTTAAAAGCGGATCCCGAGTAAAACAGTTAAATAACGATGAATCGATCAGGTTTCACATGATGTTGAACAAAATAATGTAGACAGATGTAGACATAGAATATTTTACTGTTGAAATGTGCCAAGTTTATCGAGATTTATAAAAATATTTACTTTCAAGTAATTGATTACGTTATTGAAACTGGACAATTAAAATCGGGATCATAAGTTCGTAAACATGTTAAATTTATATCTATTTTTAAAAAGGTGTTTACAATTGAATACTAATATTAATGTAGCACGTTACAGCAAAAAGAAAATCAACCATACAAAACGAGCTTGACGCTATCTGTCTAACTGCAAATTTATTTTATATGAATTTGTTTATGTACAAATTAAAGAATAGAAACGTTTCAAATTGTGAATATTTGATTTGCCTGGTATACACGGAAGACTTGGATTATTCGTATTTAATAAAAGGGGGTCGACACATATTTTTTTGTACAATCATCTTCTTAACTTTCAGAAATGGCTTCTTAATTAACTGGTTTTAAGTATTAAAATTGAAAATGATCCACCCTTTTTCTTAAATTCAATATGTGATAACTGTCGGCCTAAACTATTAAGATCGAAAAAGACATAAATAGGAAAAATAGACTAAAATCAACATTGAATGACTGACTCTATTCGGTAGCGTACAGCAGCGGAATGTAACGAGTGAACTATTCGGGTTACTTCGTACGTACATACGACAACAACTGGTCTATTCGTAATTTTCCGGGAACACGAAAATGAACGAAAAGTGTCAGTGATTTGATCTATCACATGCCGAGAGTCAATTACCATGCCATATATTAAACCAATTAACGAGTTATCGAAAGATGGGCGGTAACGCAGATGAAACCTTTGAAGTGACGACGTTGTTATTCCTTTCAATATTACTTCCATGGTTCACCCATAAAGTCAATTCGCCCTAATTTTTATAAAAAAAATAATATTAATGGTTTAATTTAAAGTTTTGTTATCTTATTAAGGTAATGGGAAATATTATAAATGTATACCTCCAAATTCATGAATAAACATTGAAATTAAAAAAAAAAGGTTTTTGTTTTGGAGCATTAATCAGACTAATTGGCTTCATTGTTTTAGATGGATTAATAATGAAATTGTTTTTTAAATAAACAAATCAGCTTGGAATGAGTTCAAACAATGATGTAAGAATTGTAAGACATTAAAGGGAAATTGTTTTTGCCGCTTGGCTTCTTTGATCTCAAGGTGTTGAGTGAGTTGGATCTTGTTATACCTGTTTTGAAATTGTTTCAAGGTTTCTAAAAAGATAAATTCATACAGATAACTTGGTCTCCAGTTCCTGAACACTTATTTTTCTTCTTCAAAATACTGTCCACATTCAACATGATGAATATTCTGGCAAGAATATCCAATGCAAATCAAAAGAAAAATAATTATCTGGTAGCAGCAATACAACATAAATATTTCGGCGGAATTTTCAAAAAGACTTTAACATAATTAATTCAGATAATTTATATTATACAAGACAACAAAATAAAATAGAATTCAGGGCGAATGGATTCAGTGCGAACAGGAAATAGGGCGAACGGACCCAGGGCGAGCAGGTATTAGGGCGAACAAGTACTAGGGCGAACGCGAATCAGGGCGAACGGACCCGGATTCCTTTCAAGACGTCATAATTATTTGGACTAATGCATCTAATTAACAGAAAACACCTTTAGCTTCTAAAACAACATATGTTAAACTTGGGTCTCTTTTAGATATAGTATATGCAGCTGTCAACCCCGAAATTCCACCTCCAACAATCAAGACATCTACATCGACTGTCATTTTCTTCCAGATGTTGAAAACGAAAGTAGATGACCTTTGACTTTCGGAGGTTGAGCTTCAAGATATGGAAGACCCATGAGATGTTCCTAATGATCCACAGTATGTCTAAGAACCTAAAAGCTAGGAAAATATAAAGCACCAATGCGATATCATTTATGATACCAGATTTTGTTATGTATTACTAACTATAACATTATTGAGAGTAGAAGGCATCTGTTCAGATTAGCATTTTATTCTACACTAAAATAATCAAACAAGTTATAACATATTATATATCGCGACAATTGATACAACTGTGGTAGGTAACAGTCTAGGCGGTGCCATATGGTTTTCATCATTTTGAGGTTACAGTTCATTTGATAACAATTCATAGTAACTTTAATAGTTTATTGACAGTTTCAATTAGACATAACAGATTTAACCTTTTTTTTTTTAAATATTGTAATTATTCAAAGGAGTATTGGAATAAAATGCTTACTTAAACTTTTTTTATTGATTTTATTGTAACAAAATTGTATTTTTTTTATAAATGAGTTTGGAATTTGTAAAAAAAAATATGAATATCAGATCATTGATGTCATTTATATCAATCAATCAAACTTCAAAATTTATTCAACAACGATGGTGAACACTTTAACGCCAACGCATCCATATCCTTGCAAGGTAACGTAACTGAAAGTCTTCTTCATCAAACATGTCAAAAGGAAACGGATTTGATTTTTTCAAAATGGCCACAATTTGAGTATAATGACACAGATTTGAGGCTGATAAATGGCCACAGATTGACGGTCATGATTTCACGGGACAAAGATTTTATAAGGACAAAAATTTGAGGCCGGACATAGATTTGACTCTAACATTCAGATGGTTTGGAGCATGTAATATCACTTCCAAAGAGGGTAGATATATTTCAATAAGTTCAAAAGATAATGATAGTATTTATAGACTCTAACAAATTATTTTAAAGAATTCACTACTTTAATTAAAAAGCATCTTGAATGTAAAGTAGGATACCTAGATTTACCAATATTCTCTATTGAATTCTTTAACACATTTAGAGACCATGCGGACCCAAAAAGCTAAAACATGAGGCCCTAAAACTCCATAAAAAAAACCCAAGTTTTAAGATCGGCAGACCAAAACGAAACTATAATGTAATAGCAAAAGAGTCTGAAATTTTACAAAATAATCGATAAACTTCTTGTAATATGCTACAAACAAACAACAAATCTATACAAGATACATCACAACGGAGCATAGACTTGTGCCCGATTGTGAGCAGTTTCATTTAATGATATAATTGAAAGCAGCGAATGTAGACTCTGGTTACACTTTACTTGCAGAGTAATCTCTGCGACAAATCTATCAAAATATTTCTTCATATATTTAACATATGTAGCTTGTGTAGTGACAACATCCAATAGCACACAGAACATATCAACAGCAATGAGTCAGTCTCGAACATGATGAATGCTGCACTGCTGTCAAATTACTACAAAATGACGATGTTAAAAACTCAATCAAAGTAAACAGCATATATTTAGAAACAAACTGATAAATAATTGAATGAAAAGGCTGAAAAATCAAAAAGTGATGACGCTTCTTCCATCGATATATATATATCAATGCCATCAGATGGCTCACAAACAACTGTTTATACCCAAAGTAGATATTCCAAAATTAAAAGGAAAGACACATTAATCAGATGCTAAACCAAAAGAATAAACCAGAATCGAAACCTGAGGCTACAAATAAACAAACAAAACACACAAAAGAGGACAATTTCCATTTTCTCAAAAGTGAATGGCGAAGGATTTAGGCATCAGCAATACAACCAAGACAAGCATATGTAGACATATAGCATGGAACTTATGAACCAACAAGATTGTTATCATGACACATATCCGACTATGTCGCTGTCTTCGAACATTAGCCAAGGAGCAAAACGTAGCAAAAATACAAAATACAGAATGAGACATTCAGAAGCGTTATTTTTTACAAGCTCAAATTCAGCTGACCAAGAATTCCTCAAATTAGAACAATCAATCCATAAAACAGCTTTAGAAAATAAATAAATTGTGCCCCTATGTAATATAGTGGTTGAAGATGAATTCTATTTCGTAATAATGTGTGTACAGCTCAATAAATCTGGAATGAAAATGTGTAATGAAATTTCTCATATTGTTTCTAGTTTTATTTCAATGAGTAATGAAAAAAAAATTATTTGATTTTTCTTGTAAAGCATAGGATATATTGATTATTACGGTTCAGGGGCGGATCCATGATGTTTGAAAGGGGTGGGGGCGTAATTCCATTAAACGGAAGATTTTTTTGGACAATTATATGCTAAAAGGTGATATATTTTCCAATGAAAAGGGAGCATACCTCCTCTACGCCATCCCCTGAATCAATTACTGTTGTTAATGACATAAGTGAAATGTATAATTACAGATATTGCATGAGCTGTGTATTTTAATGTATGGTTTTATATAAACTCTTTTTTCTTTTGAATAACCTAATATATGAGTGAATATATAATAGAGGTAAGCAGCATTTTTTATTTTTTTTCCATTGTTATTCTAAATATAATGATTGTAATGTAAATTTGAGGAGATGCATAGACATGTTGTCTGCCATTTAAGAAAAGAAAAAAAAAATCAAAAACAAAACAAAACAAAACAAATTTTTTTTTCTTTGACAATGTTGCATATTTGTATCGTTTATTTGTGTTACATTTAGTAACAATCCTATTGTTCAAATTTATACTAATAGATATCTTAATTATATCTTATTAAAGAAGCTTTCTGATTTGATGCAGCCAGTTACAACTGCAAACCATGGAAATCATTACCTCTTTGAATCCCCTTTTACCTCTAGCCAATGTAGAATAAACGAACACACAGCAATACGCACAGTAAAACTCAGTTTAAATGAAGTCCGAGTCCGATGTCAGAATTGGTAACAAAAAAAAAAAAATAAGCAAAATGACAATGATACATAAATTAACAAAGGACTACTAGCAGTTACTGACATACCAACTCCAGACCTCAATTAAACTGATTGAAAGATTATGTCTTCATCATATGAAAATCAAGCACAATCCCTCCCGTTAGGGGTTTAGTATCATACCATCATAAAATATATGAGAAGAACACAACCCGTATCATGCCAACAACTGGTTTTAGAATAAATAAGTTTATTTCCGATGCAAAAACCCCATGAGTGAATCAAATATTAATACTAAAATATGCCATCTTTAATGACCTGACAACAGTATCGTAACTATATCCCTTCTGAATAAGTCTGTTTAAAGGTTTGGTTGCCTTTTGAGGTGAGTGCCGACATTTTTGTGCTTTGTATAGAATATTACAATAAAAGATTGGATGTGAAATACGTGAACGTATAAGACGTCTGCATGTTGATTTATATTTACGAATGATGTCCATGTACCGATGATAAAATTTAGTAAATGCTTTGACTAGTTTGTGATATCGAAAACCCTGGTGTAATAATTTTTCAGTAATACAGAGATTTAGTAAATGTTTTGACTAGTTTGTGATATCGAAAACCCTGGTGTAATAATTTTTCAATAACACAGAGATTTCTTTCGTTAAAATCAAATACGTTGTTACATACACGAGCGAATCGAACAAGTTGAGATATATAAACACCATAAGATGGTGACAAGGGAACATCACCATCTGAAAATGGATAATTAACAATAGGAAATGAAAAATCATCTCTTTTATCATAAATTTTGGTATTAAGCTTCCCGTTAAAGATATAGATATCAAGATCCAGGAAAGGGCAGTGTTCATTGTAAATATTAGCTTTATTGAAAGTAGGTTCAGCAGGATACATTTCTTTAGTGTACACACTGAAGTCTTTATTATTGAGAGCCAATATATCATCCAAATATCTAAAAGTGAAATTAAATTTTGGTATCAGATGTTGTTTCGATGGGTCTTTGCTGATTTTAGTCATGAATTGTAACTCATAACAAGACAGAAACAGGTCCGCAATAAGTGGTGCACAGTTAGTCCCCATTGGAATTCCGATAACTTGACGATATACGGAATCTCCATAGCGAACAAACATGTTATCTAGTAAAAATTAAAGGGCTGTTATCGTATCAAAGCAGGTCCAATTGACATAGTTCTTTTGTTTGTTGTTACTAAAAAATGACCTAAAAGAGTTTGAACATATATATTCGCATTCTGACTTTTTAAATGCCCATTTAATTAGGTGTGTGAATTTTTTCTTAATAAGATTATGAGGCAAAGTGGTATATAGGGTAGAAAAATCAGAACTTTGAACAGATTCGAAATCACCAATAGAATGTTTCTTTTGCAACCTATGAATTTAAGTCCGCATGTCCCCTTTAAACTTCTTAACTATAAAGATTTAAAGATTAGTGTTTGTTTTAAACATCAAACATTCAAAAATCCTCCAATCAAAGAAAAATCAAAACATTTGCCTAATATAAAATTAAAAACAAGAATGTGTCCATAGTACACGGATGCCCCACTCGCACTATCATTTTCTATGTTAAGTGGACCGTAAAATTGGGGGTCAAAACTCTAATTTGGCAATAAAATTAGAAAGATCATATCATAGGAAACATGTGTACTAAGTTTCAAGTTGATTTGATTTCAACTTCATCAAAAACTACCTTGACCAAAAACTTTAACCTGAAGCGGGACAGACGGGCGGACGGACGAACGAACGGACGCACAGACCAGAAAAGATAATGCCCCTACTACTATCGTAGGTGGGGCATAAAAATAATGCGGACCTATCATATGAAAAGTGCCACGTACATTATACCTATATAATATGCTATCAAATGATTATTTATAGACATAGAAGGTCATGTCCCACATTAAGAGTTATCACATTTGTACCAGATACTATTTTCAACTTTTTAACTGTATAACCCTGGCCTTTCGATAAATTTGATAATTATCACGACAGACAACATAATTTATATACTAATAATAGATGTTATTCCTTTAAGAGTATTGCAATTAATA